GGAATGGAAAGCTTTGTCCCTTCTGCTTCTCTGCAAACACATTTTCTCTCTTCACTGTGCTTTTGGCTACTCCCACCACTAAAGTTCATATGTTTTCTTTTCTCAGTTGACCAGCTTAACTATCACAAAATTTCAAGGAACTCAATGAGAGATGATTGGCTCAGCCTGGGTCAGGCTTTGTCGCCAGATCCACAGCTGTGGGCAGAGGAACAGGGTCATGAGCCCACCCTGCATATTGTTGGCAGGGGGTGGGGGAAGGTAAGGAGGGAGACAGGGTTCAGAGAAGAGCGCTGATGACCTAGGCATATATCCCAAAATATACCTACCATACATACTATATTAAAATATTTTAAAATTCAAGTAAAACTTGAAGTGAGTTAGTCAACACACATCTTAGGTTTAGGCCATACGGTATTTCCAGAATAATTAGATGTTGTTTCATTACATAGTGTTTCCATTCTTTAGCAAAAAAAAAAAAAGAAAAGTCATATAGTGGTAAATACTGTCCCTAGAGTATACCTCAATGATTGGATTCTTTTGAGAAGGAAAAAGATTTTTTTTTTTAATTAACAAAAGCTTATGACATTTGGAGCTTGATTTGCTTAACTGAGTATTCAAGAATCAGTGACCCTGTACCTTGAGCTCTTTAGAGCAGAAGCATTGTGTGTGTAAATCTAACAAGCAATTACATTTGTCCCAGTCTTATCTGAGGCTGTGGTAAAGGTCAGACAGTTGCTGAAACGTTCAGTGATTCTAAAAAGTATAAAAGTGGACATTTTGGAAATGCCCCAATCTTTATCATGATGAATCAACTTAAAAGTCATTTACCAATCTGTGCACTCCTTCCTGATTTTTCCACCGACTGCACCACTGAGTTACCATGTTACAAGGATACATACAACATCGATTTAAAATAAATAATCCGTACTTTTATTTTGGAAATGGGTTAATCATCCTTACTTTGCATGAATTTTCATTCTCTAAACAGGCAGTATTGACCACTTTAGCATCAGACACTTGATACAGTCCCACCTATTTGAGTCATGTCCCTACACTAATAATAGAAAGGAGGAAAAAAGCCTCTTGGACCTAATAATTTTTAAAAAGAAGTTAGAACAAATTTACATAAGCAGCAACTCAAAACATCCTTCATAATTTCAGATAGATGCAGATGTACATAAAGATATGGAGTGCTGACAGGAAATAAAATTCGGAGACAAAAATCTTCAAGTAACCAAACATTTTTATCCTTTCCTGGTTTAGGCCAATCAATACTAATCCTTCAAGGCTAATTTGGTTCAGATAGAATCTTACCTGGAAGCCTCAGTAAACTATCTGAAAGCCTTCCCAGGAACATTAGGCATGTTGTTTTTCACAAAGAAGAGTTTCCATTGAATCACTGCTTACTTTTGGTCTTTATTTATCTTTTGTTTTTCACACTGTCTGACATCCTAATAGATTTAAGTGAGGTGGTCACATTTTTTAGTGCTGACTATGTGCTTAGCACTTTATATGTAGTGTCTTATGAAATCTTTATAATAGCTTTGTTGTACACATGAAGAAGCTGAGATTGTTGTCACTTGCTCTGGGATTGTTGTCACTAATGTATAAAAATATACATATATGATTAATCTGTACTCACACTCCACAATATGAAATTGAGAAGGGGGATTTATCTAGTGGATAAGCATCATGTGTGAAATATGTATGATACGACTTTCAATGTTGTTTCTGTAATAAAAGATAATTAAACATAAGTGATCTCATGGGAAAAGAACACTAGAAGGCAGAATATATAAGTTCTAGATTTGGCTTATATACACGCTAGCTGTGATTTGGGGCCAGTAGTAACATTTCCAGACCTCGGATTCCTTCTTCTATTTATCTAATGTATCCTTTCATCCCCCTCACTCTTTATATATACTTGTCCCTTTTATATTTTTATCTTAAGAAGATAAGAAATAACATATAAAGTATGATATAAATTTAAATGTTTTCCTTAATGATTTCTCCCCATTTGTTTGGAAAGTAAGATTCAAGAAGGTAAATACCTCTACCACCTCTGCTACTGTTATAGCCCCAGTGCCTGGACGGGCCTTTGAAATGTAGTAAGCACTCAATAAGCATTTATCAAGTGAATGAATGAATAAGAGTGTAAATTGAGAAAGGAGAATGGCTGCAAAACCTACCCCATCACAGTACATTTTTCTCTGTGCAAACATTTTCTGTTTACTTGTCTGTCTCCCACTTGGGATTGAGACTGGGGCTGTTGTCACAACTATATCCCCATTCCCTGGAACAAGTGTCTGACTCTACCACATGATAAGCCCTTAATAAGTAAACATTGTTTAAAAGTCTGGAACATAGGACTATTTACTTCATTATCATCATGAAGCTGTTCATATGGAAAGTAAGTTTGAGTATCTGTGTGTTTCTTCAAAGACATTGACAGAACAATCACAGACGATTATGACTGAGTCAAATCGTCATAATCAAAACAAATTAAGCAAAATGTAAAGTACAGTAAATAAACTAAGTATTTACTAATGTTTTTGGACTTTTGAGATACCCTGAATTTCTCGGGTATATGAAAAAAATGAATGTGTGAACTGACTTTAAAAATCAAATCAAAACTATAGTTATTGAGTAGAGCCTGCCCCTTTGTTGATCTCTTGTCACTCTTTATGCCTAAGCCAGGTGAGTGTGTTTCCTGTGCCACTAGACCAGAGCTTGTTCATCTTATGTTCTGCTTCTTTCCTTAGTCTGTGAATTTCTGGTACGTGCTGGTGATGAATGATGAACACACAGAAAGGCGGTATCTTCTGTTTTTTCTTCTGAGTTGGGGACTTCCAGCTTTTGTGGTGATTCTCCTCATAGTTATTTTGAGAGGAATCTATCATCAGAGCATGCCGCAGATCTATGGACTCATCCACGGTGACCTGTAAGTACATCCAGGCAGAGCACACTGCCTCCTCAGCCTTTCTGTATCCAGGCAGCTTTACTGGTAGAAGGTGGGAGCAGGTGACTAAGGGGTCTGACTGAAGGAGCACCATGAAGACCTTTGCCTTCCTGCCACACCTTCTAAATCTCTAATTATCTCTATAAATAAGAAACTATTGCCTCTCTAGTTCCTTTGATAGGTGCAGTTTTCTCAGGTGAATTGGTGTAACAAACAGTTCACAGCAATTTATACTTTACCATAATTTAGTTTGTTAGATTGGGACAAACAAAAATACCTAGTGAAATCAGGGAACTATGAAAATTTTGGTGAAGAATAGAATCAGTGACAAATTTGGAGTGTGGCATGTTATCTAAGGAGTCTGTTATTTGGGGCGGGTGGATGGGGAGCACGGCAGGCACCATCATTCATAAAATCCCTAAATACCAAAGGACTATCAGAGTGAATGGAGAGTGTCTGCAAAAGTACATGGGAAGGAGGCAAGGTCAGCTGGGTCCTTCTGATAGATTCTTATTAAAGTACACTGTAGTCTTGAAATCTAACAGATCTTTATACACACATATATATGCACGCCTTAATCCTGAATCTGGTATCTTACAACTTTGAGGACCACTCAGCCCCTTTTATTGACTCCACATTAAAAAAAAAAAACAACTTTGGGTAATAAAGCTTCATCAACTCCCTTGGTGTAATGAGGATTTAGAGGAAAAAGTAACATTTCTAAATAAGAAAGAATAGACTAGTCACAATCTTGTGAAGACAATATTACCTAATTATCTCACAGGTTATTGTGAAGATAAAAATTAGTTACTAGATGTAAAGAATCTTTTAAAGTAAAAGTACTATATAAGCAGAAATCGTTTTCATATTATTATTGCCTCTGATCAATTATGATCATCCATTCTTTACTTAGTCAACATTTGTTATTGATGTATGCAGATATACTTCACACGTGGGCAATCGCAGACTAATATCCCATACCACATTAAACCAAAAGAGATGGGCTATGTAATACACACCCATTGAGATACCATATATAATAATTTAGTCTTTTTATTGCAATTCAGTAAGATTCCCTCATACTGATTAATTTACAGCATTACAACAATAGTATTGAAATATATTTTGTTGATATAAAATTCTAAAAGCCTGATCTTCTAGAAGGGAATGGTTGTGTCTTTTCACAGTTATATTATGACATATTACTACTCCTGGCATTAATTTAAATCTTGGGCTGCCAGGATTAATTTCAGAAAGTTCTGCATCTTTCTTTGTCAAGTACAAAGTAACCATGGGACAAGTCCTGGTGGCCAGTAGCCATCTCTTTCATGAGCTCCCTGGCAAGATCAGAGTTATTTGGCAGCAGTTTTAGCATCACATGTATACACACCCAGTCTGGATAAATGGGTGTGTATCACCCAATGAAAGTGATGTTAACTAGAAGAAACTCTCTCTTGATGCTTCTAAAAGGATTTTAAAGAGAGAAATAAACTGTTATACAAGAATGTCCAAATCAACTGACTCTTAAAATATTTGCCTTCTGAGGCTTTTGCAGAAAGTTCTTTATTACCAGCTCAACTATAATAAATGCAATGTAAAATATATTAACCTTTACCCAATCTTAAAATTATAGCCTTATTCAACCAAAAGTGACTAACCTTTGTAAGTAGTATAAGTTACTTTTCTTCTTCATTCACATAGAATATTCATGTGAATTTATTCCAGTTTTTAAGAAATTCCATATTTTTGATATTACTTTAATCTCAATGTAAGAATAAATTACTGTGTTATTTTTGTAAAGTATTGTATACTTATATCATCATTCAAAAACATGCCTTTTCTCTGGAGATGGTAGGATTTGTGGTTGTAAAATAACTGGACATCTGTTGTGCAGTGGTTGTTTTCAGTAATAAAACTTTCTTTTTAGTGAGGAATTTTCTCTAAGTAGATCTCTAACGTATTAATATGCTCAAGTTGTTATATTTACAATGTTTTTGTCAACTTTTGTAACAAAAATTATGATAATTTCGTAAAACCAGGAAGTGATTGCTCTTTTCCTATTAGCTGAAAAAGTTTGCAAGTTTAGTGATATTTCTTCTTTATTATTTTGGAAGAAGTCACACATGAAGCCAACTAGGCCTCAGGTTTTCTTTGTAGGAAGACTTTTAATTACAGATTTCATTTTCTTGTAAACATATAGAACTCTTCATATTTTCCATATGCAGTTCTTTCTGTGTCAATTTGATAAATTGTCTTTTTTTCTAGGAATGTTTCCATTCCATCTAACTATTCAAATTTTTTAGTGTTTGTGAGATCTGTAGTAATGAATCTTTTTTCATTCTTGATATTGACAATTAGTATCTTCTTTCACTAATTTTTCCTCTCCTCATCAGTCTTGCTGGGGTGTTTATGAATATTACTGTTTTTTCCCAAATTCAGCTTTTGACTTCTTGATATTCTCTATTGTGCATTTATTTTAAATTTCATTTCAATTTCATCAATTTCTAGACTCATCTTCTTGATTTACTTTTGGATTTTATCTGACTTTTCTCTTTTTTTATTCTATTTATTTATTTATTTTATTTGCTTTGCTTACTGTATGCCAGGTACTATGTATTTATTTTGTTTATTTTTAAAAATTTCCCCAGCTTTATTGAGATATGACTCACATATATATTTTGTAAGTTTAAGGTGTACAATGTGATGCTTTGATACCCACATCTATTGTGAACTAATTACCACAATAAGGTTAGTTAACACATCCATCACCTTACATTTACCTTGTGTGTGTGTGTGTGTGTGTGTGTGTGTGTGTGGTTAAGAACATTTAAGATTTCTTCTCTTAGCAACTTGCAAGTATGTAATATATTATTGTTAATTATAGTCACCATGCTGTACGTTGGATCCCCAGAACTTATTTGTCTTATGCTAGAAATTTGTGCCTTTTGACCAATATCTCCCCACTTTCCCCATCCTTAGGTTATGGCAACCACCATTCTAATCTCTGTTTCTATGTGTGTAGCTTTTTTAAGATTCCTCATATAAGTGACATTATACAATATCTATCTTTCTCTGTCTAAAGTACTTCACTTAGCATAATGCCCACAAGGTCTATCCATGTTGTTGCACATGGCAGGCTTTCCTTCTTTCTTGTGGCTGAATAATATTGTAGTGTATTGTATATATTGCAATATATATCTCACATCTTTATGCATTCATTCATAGACAGACACTTAGGTTGTTTCTATATCTTGGCTATTGTGAATAATGCTGCTGTGAACATGGGGGTGCAAATATCTCTTCAAGATCCTGATTTCATTTCCTTTATACCGAGAGGTGGGATTGCTGGATCATATGATAGTTCTATTTTTAACTTTTTGAGGAACCTCCATACTGTTTTCTGTAGTGGTTGTAACAATTTACGTTCCCACCATAAGTATGTAATCTATATTTCTTCCTACTGCTAACTTTGGGCTTAGTTTGTTCTTTTTCCCTAGTTCCTTGAGGTGTAGAGTTAGGTTGTTTGAGATCTTTCTTTTTTCGTCATGTAGGCTTTTATCACTACAAACTTCATCTTAGAACTGCTTTTGCTGCATCCCATAAGTTTTGGTATATTGTGTTCCATTTTTGTTTGTTTCAAGATTTTTTAAATTTCCCTTTTGATTCCTTCTTTGACCCGTTGCTTGTTTAGGAGTGTATTGTTTAATTTCCACATATTTGTGAATTTTCCAATTTTCTTCCTGTAATTGATTTCTAGTTTCATACTGTTGTGGTTGGAAAAGATACTTGATATGATTTCAGTCTTTTAAGATTTGTTAGAACTTTTTTGTGGCCTAATGTATGATCTATCCTAGAGAATGTTCTGTATGCACTTGAGAGGAATGTATATTCTGTTGCTGTTGGATGGCATGTTCTATATGTCTTTTAGGTCCATTTGGTCTAAAGAATAGCTCAAGTCCAACATTTTCTTATTGACTGTTTGACTGGGTGATATATCCATTGTTAAAAAGTGGGATGTTGAAGTCCCCTACTATTATTGTATTTTTGTCTACTTCTCCCTTCAGATTGGTTAGTATTTGCTTAGTGTATTTGGGTTCTCTGATGTTGGGTACATATATATTTATGATTATTATATCCTCTTGATAAGTTGACCCTTTATCATTATATAATGGCCTTCTTCATCTCTTGCTACATCATTTGAGTTAAAGTCTATTTGTGTGATGTAAGTATAGCTACCCCTGCTCACTTTCAGTTCCACTTGATGGAATATCTTTTCTCATCCCTTCTCTTTGAGCCCATATGTGTCCATAAAGCTGAAGTGAATCTCTTATAGGCAGCATATATTGGACCTTTTTAAAAAAAATCTATCCAGCCGTTCTATGCCTTTATATTGAAGAATTTAATATATTTACATTTAGAGTAATTATCGATAAGGACTTACATCTTATTAATTGTTTTTTTGCCTATTTTATTGTTCCTTTCTTCCTTTTTCCTCTCTTGCTATTTTTCTTTTTGAATCGGTGCTTTTCCATGGTGATATGCTTTGATTCCCTTCTCTTTATCTTCTGTGTGTCTACTGTAAGTTTTTTGCTTTGTGGTTACCATGAAGCTTACATAAAATACCTTATTGATATCACAATCTATTTTATTGGTCAACTTAAGTTCATTTGCATACAAAAACTGCTCTTTTACTCCTTCCCTTTTCTTTTTTGGGTCACAATTTACCTCTTTTTATATTGTGTATTTATTAACAAATTAATGTAGCTGTAGTTATTTTTAATACTTCTGTCCTTCAACTTTTTTAGTAGCGTTAACTGGTGAACACACTGCCTAACTACTGTATCAGAATATTCTGAATTTGACTACATGCTTACCTTTACATGTATTGTATATTTTCATATGTTTTCATGTGACTAGTATCCTTTCACTTCAGCTTGAGGAACTCCTTTCAGCTTTTCTTGTAAGGTGGGGCTAGTGGTAAT